TTTTAGATCGTGTGTTGGCCCTTCTTTATCCTTATGTTTATCAGCTGCCTGCATATAATACATAATGTGTTCGGTAAGTGAACGGTACAGTACTCAACAATGCCCTTGTTTGAGCCCCATTTTGGGGATAGAATGAATTTTTGAATAGTGTATTAATGTAAAATGTGTGATTAAAAAATAAGTAAAAGTTTTAGATTTGTGTGTAATATTATTTTATTGAAAAATGTGTGATTAAAATGATGTCAAAATACTGTTGAAAAACGTATTTTTACCAAAGAATTGGGATCAAACAAGGGCAATGTTAAAGAAGATAAAAGCAAAAAATCTTGTCGATTGTACTATTTAATCCTATATGTCAAATACCATTAGTAGAACTAAATATTCTCATAATACGCCCAGCACATACAGGGTCTTACCGACCTCTCACAAGGGTGGGGTCGGGTTTTTTTTTTTTAACTTCCTCATTTTTTATGGTGTTGGGGCCCGCGTGGGGCCGATCCCCATGTGAGGGGTCGGTAAGACCCCTATAGAACAAAGCCCTGTATGTGTTCCTCATAATATTTTAAGGGCATGTTTGGTAGAGATTTTGAGAATTGATTTTTTGACAGAAAAGTGGGTCCCATCTGTTAGTGTGAAAGTCAAAAATGATGACGGGAATAGTGAAATAACGGTCAAAAAATTAATTTTTTTAGGGTGAAAAATTGCTATCAAACGGGGCTAAATATGGGACAACATTTTTTTCTGCAATGTACCTGCTGATGATTCTACAAGATTTGCTGGAAAAGAAGATTGATAAAATTAGGGAAGAAAAAGCAGTTAAAATGTATACAAACATGCACTTTTAGTTCTACCTGTTGACCTCGAACAGGAGATTCATTTTTCAGATACGAAGTACTTAATACCTGAAAAGGAAAAAAATGATACTTAGATCAAAATCTCGAAAGTTTCAAGAAATAATGAGTTAATACATGTTTACAAAGCATTATTTTCAGTGAAAATCAAGACTAATCAATTTGATAATGGGACATACGCTGACTTGACCATGGAGAAATTTTATGTATTCAATTGCTTCCTGGAGAACTGACGCAGTATCAGTCTGGAGGAGTGAAAAGATTAATCAGTTAATAAATACAAATGCATACATAATTTGTGGAAAAATCTGACCAAAAAAAAAAAAAAGTCCAAATTTTTACCTTTCCAAAAGGTGAAACCAACTGTTGGAGGGCAGTTATTCGGTCCCCCAACTTCTCTTTTCTGACCTGATAAAAGCTAAAAATTAATTTTGTAAAAGAACAGGCATAAATTATTCCCTTTTGTCAAAAGAATGATCGTACCTTAAAGGTTGGTAATGGTGATGGTGTTTCAATTCGGGAACGCTTGAATGCTTGTTCAGTGCTGGTTTTCTTTGATTCTGAGCGCAACGGGTTAAGAGTTGGCGACAACTGGGCTTGTGTAGAAGCAAAAAGGCTTGCTCGAAAATCATTTGAGGTACCCATGAAGGGCATGCTGTCTGAAAATTGTAAATGACTAACAGGTTGCTGTTTAGACAAAGGCGGCAAAAATTCTTTCGACTTCACCTGATAATTGGTGGTCGATGAAAAGTTAATTGCTGGAGTACTATCTGATAAATATTGTTGAGGTTGATCAGAATCTGTATCAAATAAAGTTTGCAAAAATGATGAAGTGTAGCTATCAGAAGCTGAATTCAGTATAAAGGGGGGATTTTGGTCATCAGTGGAGAAATTCTTTGAGTTCCAGTCCATATGATTAATCTGTGGACAGTCAATTCCAGTTTGTTGCTGATAATTCATGTCTGAATTCTGGTTTACTTGCTTTATGTGAGAATAATCTCCCTCAGATATTCCATTTTCTTGGCTGCAAGATAACAACTGAAGATGAATTTCTTGAATTAACTTGACCTACTTCTAAATATTTTTATCGAGAAAATCCGTATAGAGAAAGCAACTTTTTCCTCACACTGATTATTTGGATAATCATGCTTGTTGATTACGTTAAAGTCCTCTCGTCTAAAAGCTTATAAGGCTTCGCAAGTGGATGCTGTATCTTTAACTCTGATAAGCTTCTAGACGAGATAATTTAACAATTAATGACACCAAGAAACTAAAACAGATAATTCTTACAGAAAATTTTGATTCCAATGGTCAATCACTGGCTGCTGAAACTTTTGTCCATCAGAATCTGAATTAGACTTATCACCGGACCATGTTCTCTTCGAATCATTCACCACTTCATCATTTGGCCATCCAAAGCTTCCCATGTCGTTGATGGTGGACGAACACGGCGAAGAATTACCGAATAAACTTCTTGCCGGATTCCACCAGTTTCCGCCACAAACACCACCCTGGATTAATTCTTCTGCCATGGCCACTTGTTATTCAAGTTCCCGAAAAAATCTGTTCGTTTTCAGTGGCCTTCTTTTCTCTCCTTTTTGCTTTTTAGAGATGTCTTGTACTCTCTGTGACTTTGTTTCATACGGAAGTGAATATGTGCTTAATGGTGCCTGTAAGAATATGTATATATAGAGACAGAAATGTGTAAAAATGTGAAACGGTTGGAGGATACATACGAACAGGTGAATTAAACTACCGGAATCTGGTTGACCTTTATATCAAAATTATGATTAGTAAATTAGGCACACCAAATAATTAGCGTTGAGTTTCATCGCTTCTAAATTTTAGTCGCTACGAATTGCTTATTCGAGTTTAATGAATTTTGATATCATAGACATAACGAACGTTGTTGAGTCAAGCTAGCTTGAGAGGTTAAAATGAATCATTTGATATTATATTTAAATGAATCTATTAATTAATGATGTCACATAGTTGTCGTTTAGACTAGTGTTTGACACGTGTTGAATAGCATTACTCCTCTTTAAAAATTATAACCTATTAAGACCAATTATTAGAGCAAATTATTTATCGACCTTGGATCTATCATTTAACAATTGAACTATAAAATAATATTAAATTAAAGGAAATAAAATTTCATTATTATTAATTTTTTTGGGAGGGATATTATTGTGTGTGTCTGTGTGTTTTATTTTTTATATTTCCCATATGTCGAGGGAGGTGGAAGGGGGGTGTATGAACCAACTAGGAGCAAAAATTAAGAAATAAGATTGGAATCCATAAATTGTATAGAAAAAATCTGCTCAACAATTGGTCGTGCAACTAATTCCCAATATATCTGACATACTGGTTAATTTGTGAATTTTGGTCCATACAATTTGTAAATTACCAACTTAATTATGAAGTATTAGCTTTTTTCCCAGCCATGCTCTAAGGTGAATTGATTCAGTCGGATTAATGACATTTTCTTGTTAATTATTTTTGTTTCTAAAATTCTCTCGTTGATTACTCTATTCTATCCAAGTAATTGTTTATACTTTATACTTATGAGGAATTTCAGGACCATTACTTTTAAGTTTTATAAGATTCAGTATGATTGAGGAGAAGGATATAATTTTATGAAATTGAAAAATGATTAGTTTCGGCAAATATTATAGCAAAATTTCCTCGAACGGTTTCCTACTTATGAGTTTGTGTCATGTTAACCGCTAAAATTCATTTTTGGTTTCAAAATAGTTGTCTAACTTACTTTTAATATTAACATTACGCCCATTTTAATTTTTCCTTAATTCACATACAACTTTTGCAATAGGGTTTTAATCTCCACTCATTCTCGAGTCATGAAATTCTTTTACTAGCTGGTAAAAGGTAATGAAATAGTTAAGATGGAGAAAAGCATTCGTAAGCGCCTCATTTGGTCAAAAAAGAAAAATGGCGTAAACACCTCAACAATTGTTAACGTCGACAAGAGTGAAAATTCATAGTATTTGGACCAATCTGGTATTTAAATCTTCAACTTGGAATTTCATAAAAAAATCTAAGTATATATAGGTCAACTTGAGGAAACTTGAAGAAAAGAACATTGACTTGTGTGTCAAAACTCAAATATTTCAAAAGCAAGTTAGGTCAAGTTCGATAAATTACATTTTCCTTGAAAATGTGAGGATGGTGATAGCATTGAGTTAGTCTATCACTTCATCCCATAAATTGTTGCATTTGACTTTGTGTAAAATGTAATTAACAAACACTATTTGCTATATCCCAATAATAGTAAGACTCATTATGAAATACAAAGTTAGTACAGTATATATTTATGATACGTTTTTCACATAATGAATTAGAAGCTTTTGTAAGTTTATTGAAATTATATTTAATTATGCCAAGGTTCACTAGCGTTACAAGCATCAGATTGGACTTTCAGTTCAAATGAAAATACCAATAACCCATTAAATAACAAAAGTCAAATTTTAAAATCCGATAAAATCCAAAA